CCACCTCCCTCCTGCCCTGCCAGGGACCTGCGGGAGCCACTTCTTGTCACTCCCTGGTGGGTTTTGGGCCGGGTTTATCCTGGGCCGGGTTTATCCTGGGCCAGGTTTATCCTGCCTCTGTCCTGGCCCAGGTTTATCCTGCCCCTGTCCTGGCCCAGGTTTACTGTTCCCTTGCCACAATCCCAGCTTCTGCCGGAGCCCCTGGACGCTTCAGCAGCATCCCCAAACCCTCGAGGTTTGGACCACGCCCACGTTTCCCGACCCTGAGCCACAGAGACGCCGGGATGGGTTAATCCCACGCCTTGTCCTGCCGGCTAATCCCTGTTTTCCTGCTCATCCCCGTGTTCCTCGGGTGAGGACTCGGAGCAGGAGCAGTCAGGAGAGCCGCCCCTCTGCTCCCCCGATCCCGGGGCTCGGGAGCATCCCCCGGGACGAGCCGTGCCCGCTCCTGGCCCCGGGCCACTCCCGGCCCTGCCGCCAACCTGCTTCCCATTATTTGGGAATGCGGCTCCGGCATCTGGGCGGCAGATTTCGCCCGGGGGAGCTCGGGGGGGGCGATGCGGGGCCGATGACACGCGTGTCCTGCCCGGGGCAGCTCCATTTGCGGGTCGGGGCCGTCCCCGGCATCGGGAGCATCTCCAAACTTCCCCCTCCCCGCGGCTGCTCCCCCAAATCTGCGCCGGATCCCCAAGAAGTTTTGCCGGGCTGCTCCCGGTGGCAGAGAGACGGACGGACGGACGGACGGAGGGACGGACGGGGAGGAATCTCGGTGCGATTAGCGCCGGGCAGCTGCAGCCGCTGCCGGGAGCCGCCGTCTCGCTCCCAAAGCCCCTCTGCCCCCCTGGAAGCTCAGCTTTCCTTTCCCAGCTTTGTCCCGCGGCGCGGGGAAGGTCCCGGCTCCCCCCGGGCCGGGAGTTGAGTGACGAACATCTCGGGGGATTTTAATTCGGGGGTTTCCCCCCTTTTTCTCAGTGACCGGGGGGTTACCCGAGGCCCGGGGATGCAGAGTGGGGATTTTTCCCGGTGGGTGTGTGGATCCAGCGTGGGTCTGTCCCTGTCCCTGTCCCTGTCCCCCCTCAGCCCTGGGCCAGCCCCCCCTGCAGCAGATGTGAGATGGAGCCCCGGGCTGCTCCCTCCCTCCCCAGGCACCCATAAAGGAGGGGAAGGAAGTTTTCCAGGGCCTTTTCCCTGCTCACCAGCCCGTGCAAACATCAGGCTCCTCTCCCCATAAATCAGGTTGTTCTCCCCGGGGAGCAGCAGATCCCACACAGCTGATCCCACACAGGAAGACCACCTTGCAAAGCTCCTTCCCTCCCTTTCCCGCTCCAACCAGGGATGCAGGGAAGGTGATGGAGGGAGAGGATGCTCATGATTCTCCCCCCCTCCAGCTCCAGGCTCCCTTCCCAGGCAGAAACCCTTCACCCCCCACTCCCAGCTCCTTTCTCCATTCCAGCCTCCTTCCCGAGGGAGGACGGGGATTAAGAGGAAGCAGATTAAGCCCTAATGGATTGATTGCAATTATTTTCCCTTGTTTATCTGCAGGACCGTGTGGGAGCCTGAAGAAAGGAAAGGGAATGTTCTTTCTGCTCCTCATTAGGGCTCCTGCTGGAGAGAAACCCAGGGCAGCCAGAGATAAAAGCAGCTACATCTGAGCCCTCGATTTCAGGGTCATGTGTAAATATTGTGTGTAAATATTGTATATAAATACTGTGTGTAAATACTGTTTGTAAACACTGGGGAAACCCCTCTGTGTGCAAACCCACACCAGTCCTGGGCAGAGCAGCTCCACCACCAGCCCTGGCAGGTCCCAGCTCCCTTCATCCCCGTGTCCCACATTCCCCAGGGACACACAGCCCCTGCCAGGAGTTCTGGAAGTGCTTTGGGATGAAAACCAACCTCCTGCCTGGGGGGAGTTTCCTCCAGATTTGCCCCATGAGCATTTCCCACCCGAAAATCCCCCCCTGTGTCCCTTGTCCTACCCGGAGCTGAGCCCTCCAAGCCCTTCCTGGGCTCATAAAAACTTGTTCCCAGTTAAATAACTCTCCCTGGGACTGGGATTTCCGTGTGGGATCCCAGGAGGCTGATCCTGCACTTTGGGTGCAAAGATTACAAAACGAGTGGATTTGAGCCTTTTGATGCTCTTTTACAGCAGCTGAAGAGACTCAGAGGGGCAAGAGGGGGGAGCTGCCCTCTTTTTTCCATGGTTTTTCCCGGGATGCTGCTGTGCAGAGCTGGATAAGCCGCAGGAAGCTCCCACCACGCTCCTGCAAAACCCTCCTGCACCAGATAACACCAAACTTGACATTCCTGCTGCTCACAAGGCTCAAGCAGGAGGATGGGGAAGGAAAGAAGGGAACAGGCCCCTCCAGAAGGCTCTGAGGGCCTGTTTCCTATCAGGGATTCCCAGGTTTTCGGGAGAGGAGGAAGAACTGAGGACACACCAAGGTAGGGATGCTCTTTATTGGCATCTGACGGATACACAAGGACACCTCCCCCCCACCCCGTGCATCTCCCCCCTCCTCATGCTGCTCACACCCACCCACACTCCCCAAAATCCTCCTACAACGGCTACTCTGCCCCGGGACACTTCCTAAGGGACCAGCACTGGGACCACGAGGGGGTGGGAGGAGGAAACACTCGCTCTTTGCACACCAGGAACGTCAGGAAAGGACACGGGACGGACCCCCCGAGCGCTGACTTTGGCTTGGCTTCCCCTCTTGTTTTGTTTTTTCTCCTCTGTTCGTTTTATTTTTATATATTTTCTGCACCCGGGGCTTCCCCCCCGCCCCGGCCGCTCTTTGGATGCTCAGGGGGTTTTTTTTGTCTCCCGTTTCCTCAGCCCTGAGGAAATCCCTTTGCTATGGCAATAAAACCTGAGGCCAAGTCCTGAAGAGAAGCAATTCCCGGCCGGAGAGGGATTCCCAGCCGGGTGGGTTGTCAGGATGAACCAGGCAGTCTGTCAGGATGAACCAGGCAGTCTGTCCTGCTGTCCTGGTTCAATGTGGGCGCCTCGTCCCAGCCGCCCTCAGTTTGTGTTTGAGTCACTTTTCCCCCCAAAAAAAAAAAGAAAAGGGACCAGTGGAAACAACCCGACGATAAAAATTCCTCCCAGGGCATCCCTGGGGATGGATGGGGCTGGAAGCAGCCGGAGCCCCATGGATGGGGGTCTGCAAACCAGTCGCCCCCCATGAGCAGGGCTGCAAACCTGGGCCAGTTTCCTTGGATTTCGGTGGTGGGAGAGGTTTGGGACTCGGGTGGGAGTCTCACAGCCCTGCCCGGGCCACTTCCAACCGAGGGTTCGGGCTGTTCCTCCGGAGGGATCTTGGCTCCTCTGCTGCCCCAGGGCAGGAAGGGTGGAATATCCTGTAATATCCCAGCCTGGAGACCCGGATCCAGCCTCTGAAGAACTTCCAAAAAGCTTCTGAAGGAGCTGAGCACTTGAGTCCTCTCCATGCAGGCCCCAATCCTTCAGAAGACACCGAGCTCTCCCTCCCTGCCGGGAGCAGCCAAATCCTGCCGCGTTCCCAAGTTTGTCACGGACCTGCTGCAGGGATTTTTGGGGTGTTTTGCTGATACTTGTTGAGTCTTTAAGGCCAGAAACGAGGTGGGACTGAAGGCTTGGGCTGGGAATGCTCCCCTTGGAGGCTGTGAGGGAGAGGGAAGGGCTGGAGTGGGATCCTCACCCCGTGTCACACGCGGGAACATCGAGCAGGGAGTGAAACAACACCACGGTATTTACAAGTCTGGCTTATCTCCTCGAGGAGAGGAGGAAAATCACCTTCTGCCTTCAGGAAAGAGCCTCTGGATGAATCCAGAGATGAAGGAGGGGCCGTGCACCAGCTCCCCTGGAGTCCTTCCTCCACGGAACCCTCCTGGTGCTCCGGGCAGGCAGGAGGGCACGGCTGGGTTGGGATCATCTCCCGGGACCCTGGGAGCAGCTCCGGGGGGAACAGGCTCTCCAGCATCACCCAGGAGTGGGCTGAGAGCTGATATGCCAAAAAATCCCACCCTCCCAGCTCCAGAGAGGTGAGGGAGGTGAGGGGAGCTCTGTCCCCTCCCCGGGGCACAGGGAGGTGCTGGGGTCACCCAGGGAGGTGCTGGGGTCACCCAGGGGTGCACAGGGGTGGGCAGCTCCTGCTGAAGGACCCCCAGGGGTGATTCTGAGCCCCCTGCACAGTGCTGGAGGAGGAGCCCTTACAAGCAGGGGGTCGGGAGGGACAGTGCAGTGGTGCCAGGGTGGCTTTGCCAGGGGCACTGGGATGGGGGGGAAGGGTGAGCACAGCCCTTTTATCACGGCCCTGCAGCAGGCAGGCACTTTTTCCAGCCCTTTAGACCTTCGCTGTCCCCCCCGGAGCGTGTCCATGGGAGCTCCAGTGTCCCCTGCAGCCCCCCCGGGGCTCCCCCCAAAACCTGCTCCGGGTGCTCCTCACTGGGACCAAACACCGGCAGCCCCTGGAGCCTGGGGGGGCTGCACCCCCCAAATTTCACAGTGTAGCTCGGGCTGCTGGGCCCCCCTCACGGGACCAGCCCCCAAATCCTGCGACAGCAGCCCCAGTTCCTCCATCCCTGCCCTTCGCCCGTGGGTTGGGGAAGAGGGAGGAGCAGCAGCTGGATTTTAGGGGAGCAGGAAAGAGGGGTTGGGCCAAGGAGGAAGAGGAGAACCTGGAGCCCCGAGGAGAAAGGGCTGGAAGGGGGGAGAGAGGAGAGGACTGGGAGTGTGCTGCTCCCTCCTGTGTCTGTCTGTCCGTCCATCCAGCCTCCATCCAGCCTCGGGGGGCTGCAGACGGGATTTGGGCGTGGAGAGGGGCTGAGCCCTCCCAAAAAAAAACCCCCCCTCAGGGGCTGCCGGGGGGCGGCAGGGGCGGGAGGGGCCGGTACCGGGCACGGGAGCTCAGAGCTGGAAGTGCCCTCAGAGCCCTCAGAGCCCTCAGAGCCCTCAGAGCCCTCAGAGCCCTCAGTGCCAATTGGGGGGTCCCGGGGAGGCCCCGCTGCCCCCCCGCCCTCCCCCCCGGGGCCGCCGGGGAGGGGGAGGGCGAGAGGGGCCCGGGGGGGGGGGGGCGGGCTCCCCTCGGGGCCGCCCCGGGCCACCCTTCAGACGGGCGAGGTGGCCGTGGAGTCGCTGGCCAGGCTGTCGGCGATGTCCCCGCGCTGGATCCTGCGCAGGGCGGCCAGCAGAGCCTCCAGGGTGGCCGAGTCCTTGGAGGACCAATGGGCCAGCAGGGCCCGGGCGGGAGAGTCCTCGCGGGTGAAGGAGTCGATGAGCTCGTCCTTGTAGCCCAGCTCGCCCGCCAGCTGCCTCCAGGGCTCCTCAGCAGAGCTGCCCAGCAGCTTCTCCACCTCCTCCTGCTTGCCCGGGGGCAGGCTGGCGTACAGGGTCCCGTCTCCCTTGGGCGCTGGGGAGGGGGGACAGGCATTAAAACCCACCCCGGGGTGCCCCTTCCCGCCCCAGGGGTGTCCCTGCCCGCCCCAGGGGTGTCCCTGCCCTGCAGCTCCAGCTCTTCTGAGGGCAAGGAATGTCTAAAATAAAGGAAAACTTCCCACATTCTTTTAAAGGTAAAGAACATTGATAGTAAAGGGAAACTTTCCACCCACTTTTAAGGGTAAAGAATATTGATAATATAGGGAAACTTTCCACCCATTTTTAAGGGTAAAGAATATTGATAATAAAGGAAAACTTTCCACCTTCTTTAAAGGTAAAGAATATTGGTAGTAAAGGGAAACTTTCCGCCTTCATTTAAGGGTAAAGAATATTGGTAATGAAGGAGAACTTTCCAAGGCTGATTGCACTTGACTGATTTTCGTCTGACTGACTGGGCCGATGCCCCTGCCCTGCATCACAAGTCCTTTTAAGGCTAAAGAATATTGGTAATAAAGGAGAACTTTCCAAGTTCTTTTAAGGTCAAAGAACATTGACAACAAAGGAAAACTTCCCATCTAATTTCTGAATGCCACAGAGGGGTTTTTCTCTCCCTTCCTCTCCTCACGTCACTTCGTCCTTCCTTTCCCTCCCCTCTCTTTGTCTCTGGCAGGGAGTGCAATGAAGGGTGGGTTTAAATCATCCTTAATTCCCAGCCCCAGCCCTACCTGGCCCCTGGGTGCCCTGGCCGGGGGGCTGCTGATCGTGCAGGCTCTGACTGTCCACGGAGATGCCGCTGTCGCTGTGCAGCTTCTCCCCCTCTGGGGAGGGGGTTTGGTTCACGGGTCGGTTGTTGGCCCCCTGCTTGTTCTGTTTGCAGTTGTTCCACCTGGGGGGGGGCAGAGGGGCAGGGAGGTGACATCCCTTGGGATTGTCCCCCTCCCTGGGAGAAGGGTTTGTCCTGCAGCCTCTGGCTCAGCTAAATCAGGATTTAGGGGTGCTGAGCGGACACTGAGCTCTTGGGGAGCCTCATAATTCATGTTTCATCTAAAATTCCATGGAGCACAGCGATTGATAGGGCGGGAAAGGCCTCCCAGACCATCAAGTCCATCCTCAGAACAGACCCAACCACATCCCTTGGTGCCACCTCTGCTGATTTTCGGACACTTCCAGGGACAGCGACTTCGCCACCCCCCTGGGGGAAAGTCCCTTGGCAGGATCTGGTCATTTCCATGGCGATCCACTGCCAAAATCCACCCTGGGGTGCCCCCAGCCCGGGATGCCCACGGATCCACCGAGCCAGCCCCGGCTTGCCCTTGCCCCAGGGCTGAGCTGCTGAGTGTGACGGGCCCTGACACGTGCCAGGGCGAGCAGGGGCAGGGAGGGGGGTGCAGGGAGGGCTCCTCCACCCCCACCCTGCTGCCATCGGCCTCTCTCCTCCCTCAGCTGCTGTTTCCTCCTGGATTTTTGCAAATCCACCTCCACCCCCCCAGCCCGGTGCCCTCCCTCCCCCAGGACATCCCCCGGGGGGGGCACACAGTGCCCGTTTCCCACCCCCCAGGCCCTGCTGTACCTCTTGAAGGCGATGTAGGCCACCAGCCCCACCACCACGGCGGCCAGGATGGAGCAGTAGACGGGGATGAGGTTGTCGGCGGTGCCGCGGCTCACCACGGGCTGGGAGCTGCCCACCACGGTGGTGCCCGTGTCTGCAGGGGTGCTGGGGGGCACCTCGGTGCCCAGGGGCTCCCTGGTGCTGGGCTCGGGGCTCTCAAAGCCCACCAGGGGTGGGGGGTGGGTTGTCCAGCGAGGGTGGAGACCTGGGAGGGGAGAGGAGATGAGAACAGGGACAATATGAGCAGGGTTCTCCTTCCAGAGGCTGGTGGAGGTGACAGCTCCCCTCATCCCTGTCCCCAGGACAGGCCAGAGCTGTCCCCTGCCCCGAGGGTGCCTGGCTGGTGCCTGTCCTGATGGCTGGACGTGGCCATGGCTGGACAAGCCCTTTCCCAGCACGGGGTTTGCTCAAGCCCTGCAGCTCTTCCCCCCACGGAGCCCCAGGGCTCCCACTGCTGCTCCCAAAATCCAGGGCAGCAGCCCCAGCTGCCTCCCATCCATGCACATCTGCACCAGGACCCACAGGGACGGGTTCATCCCCTCCCAAAACCCTGCTCTGCCCCTTTCCTGGCCCCTGCCTGCACCCACACCCTGCCAGGGAGGGACCCCGTTCCCGCCACACCCAGGCGTGTCCCACGGGGAGAGGGATCCGTCCTGGCCTGTCCCAGGGAAACACCCTCACCTGGGGCTGCCCCAACCCAGCCCTGCCCCGGTGTCAACTCCATCCCAAATCCATGTTCATCCCAGCTCCATCCCAAACCCCCCTCCATCCCAAACCCCGTTCATCCCAGCTCCATCCCAAACCACTGTTCATCCCAACTCCATCCCAAACTCCCATTCATCCCAGCTCCATCCCAGCTCCATCCCAAACCCCCGAGTTCATCACTGGGGGCTCATCCTGTGCCCACAGGCAGCGAGTCCCGCGGGGCTGAGCCAGCCTGGCACGGAGGGAGCTGGATGTGGCTGGAATCATGGTGGGGAACTGGAATTTGGTCCTGCCAACCCTCCTGCCACATCTGGTGAGGGCGGAGCTGGCATCTCGCTCCGTCCTCAAGCGAGGATGCGGCTGGAATCAGGGTGGGCACGTGGCACTGGGCCCTGTGATCCTCCTGCCACCTCTGCCAGCCCAGCGAGGATGGAGAGGGTGTCACAGCAGGGAGCTGGCATCCTGCCCTCCCACCATGGCCCCTGTCCCAGTGAGGACAGCCCTGGTGCCCCAGCCAGCCCCCTGTGCCCTCTGGCCGTGCCCGGGTAACAAAGCTGCCCCTGTGCTCCTTGACTTGTGGCTCCATTTACTCGACCTCTCCCGGGAGCAGCCCCGGCCGCCCTCATGCCGTGACCCAGCGGCGCCCGGGACAAAAAGCCCTTTTCTCCCTGGCAGGGCTCAGGGCAGGGAATCGGCTGCTGCTGCCCAGGAGCCGCTGGCATTCCACTGGCATTCCCGGCTGGAGCAGCCCTGGTGCTCCCTGTGCTGCTCAGGGCTGCTGCTGGATGGTGCCCTCCCTTTCTCCTTGGCACCAAACCCTCCTGGGCTGTGGGGCTGGATGTTCCCTGGCTTTCCAGGGCAGTGAATTCCCATCGGGAACCCACCAGTGCCAAGGTCCCTCCCTGCCGGAGGCTCGGGCAGCAGCAGGCACAGCACCCGAGGCTGGGGAAACCCTCGCTGTTCCTGGACACCACAAGCCCCCCTGGATCCACACAGTGACATCCTGCTGGGAGCTCAGCCCTGGGAAGGGTCGGACAGACCCCGGGGTGGGGTTTTTGGAGGGAGCCAAGGGCTCACAGTGAGGGTTGGAAGCCACAATTCCCGAGGGATGGAGCTCTCAGCTGGACACCGGGGTCCCCCTGTCTGAGCCACGGACACGCCCCACCTCCCAAAGGGAAACTGAGGCAGGGAGCGCTACAATGAGCCCAGTGACCCCCCCCCCGTCCCCTCCTGCTGCCCCGGAACAGGCTCCTCACCCCTGCACTCGGCGTCGGACACGGCCGTGCACTCCTTCACCAGCACCTCGTTGTCCTCGCAGGTCGTGCAGGGCAGGCAGGGGTCCACGAAGTTGGCGTCGCTGGAGAAGGTGCCCTCGGGGCACTCCTCGCACACCGTGTCCTGCGAGTCCTTGCAGGGGAACATGAGCCCGAATCCCACCTCGCAGACGCGGCACTCCCGGCAGGCCCCGCTGGCCTCGTCCTGGAAGTATCCGTAGGCGCAGCGGCAAACGGCGTCGTCCGACTCGACGCAGGGCGCGGACATGCTCTGCAGCCCCAGGCACTGCGTGCAGGGCTTGCAGGGCTCCGTGGCGCTCACCGTGTCCGAGAAGGTCACACCTGGGGGGGACAGGGCTGGGCAGGGCAGGCACAGAACGGGCACCTCGCTGGGGCACCGGCTCTGCCCCGGCACCCACCACGGCTGGGATGGTATCCCCACCGCCCCTCTCCCCCTGTTCCCTCTCCTGTCCCCCTCTGCAGCTCCCCCAACACCCTCAGGCTCTGCTGCCCGTTCCCATGAACTGTTCCCACAGCAATTCCCAGCTCTGGGGGGATCCAGGACTGGATGTTCCCCTACACGTGCCCACGGGGATCCAGCCTGGGCATGGCTGCCCTCGACTGTTCCACACAAAACCAGTGTAAAGGAGGTTTATTTAATTCTATATTGCCTTTCTAGGATGTGCTGTTCATTTGTTTTATGTGTGGCATTAATTTAACACACAGGCCTGTGAACCAACCCTTGGTGTTCCCTCTCAGGGGCTGGGTTTGGGGTTACGAGGAAACACGAGGCCTAAATGTCTCTTGTTTGCCTGTCCAAGGGTGTCCTCAGTGTCCCCAGGCAAGTTCCCTGCCCCCAGCCAGAGCTCCATCCCTACATTTGACCTCCTGATGGTCCCTGTGGGCATCCCATGGCCATCCCTATATCTGACCTCCTGATGGTCCCCACAGCCATCCCAGAGCATCCCAGAGCCATCCCACAGCATCCCAGAGCCACCCCACAGCCACGGCTGCTCCTCAGCATCCCATCACCTTCTCCTCCACATCCTGCCCGGGGGTCCCTTGGGGCATCACACCCCCGCTGTTCCCCCCCCCAGCCACGTGTCCCCGGGTCGGGGGTGTGATGTGACAGGAGGTGACAACACTAATTGCTGACTCTCCCTGACCCCGGGGCTTCTTGCTCTCCGGTTTCATCCTGTAGGACTGACTGCCGGGGAAATCAATCCCCCTCCCTCCCTCTGCCCGTTCCCAAAGGTGTTGGAGGATATTTTTAGCCCAGGAAGCCGGGTCAGCTCCATCCTGGAGGGCACAGCTGCTGTCCCTGCCTTGGCTGCTCCCATCGATCCCGCTGGATCCCCATCTTCCCTCGGCCACGATGCCAAGGGGAAAGTCCAGCCTCCGGGATGGAGAAGGTGCAGGGGAGCTCAGCCTCAATCCCTCTGCTTCCCAGCTCCTGGGAAAACAACCCAGCCACTGCTGGGATCCTTAATGACCCGCTCAGGGATTATCATGGATATGGCAATTCCCAGGGATGATCATGGATACGGCAATTCCCACTCTCAGAGCCATGGACGAGCTCAGGGCAGAGCTGCCCCAGGCTGTTTCAAGATAGAAATGGGACTGAAGCTCCCTGATCCCTGGTGCTGGGCGGGATCAGAGGGATGGCAGTGCCATCCCAGCCCTGGCAGCTGCTTTTTCCCCGGCGTGACTCAGCGGCACAAACCCCGTCACAGCCGCGACATTCCCGCTCCCGACACCCAGTGCCTGTGTCCGTGTGTCCTGCTCCTGTCCCGAGGCCACCCCTGTAACCACGGGGATTGTAATTCCCTGGAATTGCAGGGCAACAGGGAGCACAGAACCATGGAATCACGGAATGGGTTGGGTTGGGAAGGACCTTAGAACCCAGCTCATCCCACCCCTGCCAGGGGCAGGGACACCTTCCGCCAGATCAGCTTGCTCCAAGCCTGGATTTGGACACTTCCAGGGATGGGGAAGACACAGATTCACCAGGGAACTTTTTTTTGGTGCTGTTTGCCTTGTTCCCACCCCAGGGAGGGGTGTGAGCAGCCCCCGTGCCCCCCTGTGCCCCCCTGTGCCCCCCTGTGCCCACCCGGGCGGGCGCAGCCGGAGCAGCGCCGGGAGCACACGCGGCTCCCATTAACCTGGGGCTCATCCCTGGGCTCATCCCTCGCATTATCCTGAATTATTGATGGGCACCATTAGAGCGGGGAAGTGGCCAGGAAAGGCTTTCGGCTGAGTGGGCACATTTGCAGTGGCAGGGAAGGTATCTGAGCTGAGCAATTACAGCCCAGATTCAAACCGGGCCCCCCCTCCCGCCGGGGAGGGATAAATAAATCATGAGGCAGCAACTGGGGGGGGCTGGAGAGGCTGGGGGGCAGAAAATCAGGATAAAACAAGCCAGTGGCCACTGGGGCTGACCCAGGGATTGTCTCTCCCCTCCAGCCCCTGCAGATGCTTCGGTTGGAGCGAATTTATCCCAAACAACCCGGCTGGTGAGTCAGGAACACATCCAAGGGAACACATCCAAGGGGAGGCAGCCCGGGGGGGAGGTGGGGATCCCACGGCTCTGGGCCGTGCCCACATTCCTGCAGCTCAGGCTGGATGCTGTGCCAGCACCGGGGCTGCCTCCACCTGCCCGGGCCTCGGGATCCGGGATGCAGAGGGAAGGGGAATGGGGGATCCTGAGGCCTGGAGAGCAGGACAGGGAGCCAGGAATGCAAAGTCACCCTCTGGATTTCCATCCCCTGCAGCCGGAGTCTGACACCCCAGGCAGCTTCCCTGCGGGAAGGGTTTGTCTCTCCACAACCTCCATGTCCTCCAGGAAGGGTGGAAATTCCCTTTATCCCATAGGCTCCCAGAAAGAAATCAGGGAGACGAACCTGGAAGTGCAGGTAGTGGGAAAAGGATGGGAAAAGGACCCATCTGAGCATCCCCAGGAGTGCAAAACCCCCCCTCTGGGTTGGCAGCCCTGCAGCTGGAGCCTGACATCCAGGATTCCCTGACACCCAGGATTCCCTGACACCCAGGATTCCTGCGGGAAGGGCTGGGGGGGATGGATGGCACAGTGGGTGCCCTGGCACCCCACAGCAGGATGGGTCGGAATTCCCAGGGTTATCCTGCCCAGCAGCCCTGAAACTGCAGCTGGGTGGGATCGAGGCCCCATGGCCAGGGGGATCCAGCCCTGGGGGGGATCCAGCCCTGCATCCAGGGGGGATCCAGCCCCTCCAACCAGTTTCAGGGAGGGCGAGTGCCGTGCATCGATTTTGCAGGAGAGCTGAGGTATTTTTAGCCCTGCCCTGTCCCTGCCCTGTCCCTGCCCTGTCCCTGTCCCTGTCCCTGCCCTGT